TTTTTGGTTCTGGGAATTCTTCAATTTTCTTAATCTTCTCTGGATCAGGTTGAATTCCTCCTTGTCTTACGATATGTCCTAAAAATGCTAAGGAAGGTTGGCAAAAGTAACACTTCTTTAACTTTATTGTAAGGTGAGCATCCCTAAAGGCTTGAAACACTTGTTTAACATGATCAACATATAATTCAAAAGGTCCTTTTGTATAAATGATTACATCATTGAGATAGACTGATACAAATAATCCAAGAAAGTCTTTGAGAACCTAATTCATAAGCCTTTGAAAAGTTCCAGATGCATTATTTAAACTAAAAGGCATGACTAAGAATTTGTACAATCCATTTGCTGTAATAAAAGCAGTTTTCTCAACATCATCGAGATGCATCATTACTTACCAATAATCACTAGCCAAGTCGAGGGTAGTAAACCAATTTGCTCCACCTAATGAATCTAATAAGTCGTCGATTCTTGGTAATGGATACGTGTTAATTTTTGTGACAGCATTGACTTTTTGATAATCAACATATAATCTTTTTTCGCCTTCTTTCTTTCCTACTATTACTACAGATGAGGCCCATAGACTATATGAGGGTCGAATTATACTGTTTTCTTCTATTTTCTTTAGCTCTTGATTCAAGAATCTGGTGTTTTTAGGATTCGTTTGATATGGTTTTTGAGCAATTGGCATAGCTGTTCCAGTATAGATACAGTGCTTGATCTCTGTTGTTCTTCCTATATCTGTTTGACTTCTTGCGCAAATATCGTAGTATTCTCCTAACAGATTCATAAAAGTCTGTTGTTGATGGAAGTCCAAAGGTCCTAGTTGCTCCAAGTATGCTAGATCAGTTTTAGCAGTATATCCTGTGACTTTAGCAAGATAGGCAACTAGGTTATCTTCTATTGGTTCTTCTAATTCTCCATTATCATCAGTATCCTCTTTAGATTGAATAGGAGAGTAATGATCAGACCATGGGTTGAATCCCAACTCATCGTTCAACTCTGATTCTTCTGAGTCAACATCATCAGATAAATAAATAGGATATTCTTCTAAATATTCATCCTCATATTCTTCACTTTCATACTCATCCTCAGCTTCCTGAGTTACAACTTTAGCTGTTTTTGTAAATGTAATAGGAATTTTCATAGTAATTCCATCTCGTTTAATAGTAAGGATGGATTGTTCCCAACTCATAGTAGTATTGGTTACTCTGAACCAATCGTTTCCAAGTATAAGGATTTCATCTTTAGATTTGAGTACTTAAAAGGAAGTGGGTACATTAATTTTTCCAATCTTTACTGATACATTGTTGATAATTCTGAGGGAATGAGTCCTTGCACCATTCGCTGTTACTACTATCATTTTTGAGGGTCGATTAATTTTATATCCTAGTTTTTCTACTAAGGTTCTAGTTATAATACTGGTGGCAGCTCCACTATCAATAATTGCAGTTTGAGCTTTTTGTCCAATTCTTAGAGTATATTTCGCAGCAAAGGTTGGTTTATCATCACTTTCTACTAAATTAGCTTCCTTAGTTTCATCAGTGACTCTTTCTCTTAAGCGTCTGACAGCTCGAGCTAAACCAGAATGATATTTGAGGATAGCATGTGCAGCTTGCCCTACTGATAATCCACATGGTAGGTTTTACAAATAGGTTGAGATATTAAATTCTGTCAGTTGTTCAATAGGGGCAGGTAACAACCTTCTTTTAGGGGCTTTTAATGCTTTTTCAATTCTAACTGGTTTGACTATGAGTTCTGGTGTTGGTTCTTCCATTTCTAATTCTTCAACAGTTATTTTGAGTGAGTTTTAAAACTTTACTGGTCTTCGTTTATTTTTTGACACAGTATTCTTTGGGTAAGGTCCAGACCTAGTATTAAGATAGTCTTCATATTCATCTTCTTTATAATATTCCTCTGAAGTATATTCCTCATCATTATATTCCTCCTCATAATATTGGTCAGCAAGATGTATATCTCTTGTATTATCATAATGAGGTCTTCTATCAGTTCCTCTTGGTTGTTGACGAGGTTGGGGGCAATATCTAACTATATGACCTTCCCTGTTACAATTGTAACAAGTCATGAAAGACATATTTTGTCTAAGTCTTCTATTAGTATCATTGTAGGGTCGCTCTGTTTGTCTCCTTGGTAGTTATTGAGGTTGAGCTAATAAAGCAGTTGTCAAATTAGCATAATTGATAGATAGTTGTTCCAATTTTTTTGTAAGTTCATTCACTTCAGTATTAGTAACCACATTTTTAGGAGTATAGACTGTAATAATACTAATATTCTTGGGAGTTTTTCCAGAGGCAAAATTGTATCCAATTTCGATAGTTTGTGTAGAGGTTACAGTAGCGTTTAAATCAGCTGAATTTTGTGAGTAGACTAATGGAGTATAAGCAGGATTTAGTCCCATAAGAAACATCCTCTTCTTTTGTGCTTCATCTGTTAATACTACACGAGTCACCAATTTCTTGAATTTATTAGCATAAGAATCTACAGATTCATCTGTTTGTTGTCGCAGAAAAGTTAATTCCTGATACTATTGATTCTTCTTAGTTTCGCTAATGAATCAAGCTTCAAATAAATCTACAAAGTTTTGGCCACCATTAGTTCTAGTATTTCAATTATCTCCCATAGCAGTAGTAACACTATCAAACCAGTCAGCTGCTGCATCCTTAAAGATGTCCTCCCATGAGGGTTTTCTTTCGTGCTTCAGTAGTCTATCTGTTAGTAATGGCAGCTCTTTCGAATGTAGTAAGCCATTCTACAGGATCTTTATTTTCAGCTCCTGAAAAATAGTCAACTTTAATAGTGGATCTTTCTCCTCTTTGAGCTAATCAGAGTCGTTCGCTAATATATGTCAAGTGTTGTCTATTATTCCCAAAAATTTCTTGGAAAATGGCTCTCATTTCATTTCCTGTGGCTATGGTTTCAGTTTCAACTGGGGTGAATTAGAAGATGAGTTTGATAAACTAAATGCAGAAGGTGTTGAAGAAGCAATAAGTCATTGTAGTAATTGTCGATCTGCTATAGGCCTTACTAGATCTTGTTCTAAGATTTCAGTATATACTCTTGAAGAAATAG